TAAATACTTATTTAAAGAAACTTTTAAATATAAAGGAATTTATAGAGAATAAAAAAAATTTAAGAGTTTAAACAAAAAAATGAATTATGAGAAATATATATCATTTTACTATTTGAGTTGATAGAAAACAAGGCGGAGTAAACAAAATCTAAAAGAGAGCTTCTGCGACGAAAAAACGGTGCGGATAAAGTAACGTACCTAATCCAGGTTCGGGTTTGTGGATCGGTTCGAGTTATAAAAACCCGTATCGAATCCGACACCGATCCGTCCTGCTGAAAATTTCAGTAGAAGCATAACTACAGTACTATGAACTCAACTGTATCAGAAGGAAAACCTACCGAAGTAGAAGAAGCGCGTCAACTCGCTCCGTCGACAGGGCTGGGACCTGGAAGCGTCCAAATGGCCTCGCTTTTGATGACGGATTTCCTACGTCAGGCAGGAGGCGCCGCTATCATCGACGGCGGTTTGGCGACGGAGCTCGAACGTCACGGCGCAGATCTGAACGATCCCCTATGGAGTGCCAAAAGCCTCCTTACATCTCCTCAACTCATTCGCAACGTAATATCTTCTCTCTCTCCTCCATGGGCTGCATGTACGTGCGCGCGAAGATATGTGCATATATATTATTGTGTTTTTACATTTGTTTGCGTATGTTTCTAGAGGAGCTGAGTTTCTTAATTAGTTATTGGACATTCTAATTCTGGAACGGCGGCCATATATTTCAATTTGCTTAATTTCTCTTTTTGTTTCGAGGGAAACTATTGAAGGCGTATAGATGATTAGAGTCGACAATCAAGCAGATGGTTGTTAATATGTATGCTAAATGCGTAACTATTAGCAATTTTTGCATCTAGAAAAGTATAGTATCATCAGTGGTTGAATTTTAATTAAAAAAATTGAATGAAGTTACGGAATGAGAATGGTGATGGTGTTGAAAATTTATTCGGTTATGAGGGTATTTGGGAATCACTGGTCTGACTGGCTCTGGCAGCTTAATTGTATGTACAAACAAGCTTATGGACACAGTGTGAGCTTGTGTTTAGTTGTCAGAGGACCAGCCTTGTATGTCTTTTGCCCACAGCTCAAATACAAAGTTAGATTAAGCTACTGACTTATTTGATTATGAAAGATTTTTATTTGGACCACTGGATGGGCATGGTTTCTGACTCTTGTCCCTCCCTACCTGTACAATCTTTGTTTTGTTCGTAACTTCTCACTAAAAGAGTATAAACTTTATGGAAAAATTTTAATTTGGAAAACTATATCGAAATTGTTCTTTTTCAATCTAGTTGTATTTTTAATGGACTTTTAAATTCTTCAGCGGATGGAATGAGTTTCATGCATGAAGCAAACATATTTTATTACTGTACAACAATTTGATTTTTAAAATCTTGCATGTTGGTCTACAACTCAATGTTGTAAGAATTGCTACTAGCTTAATAGTTTGTTGTTTTTGCAATTATCCTGAATTGTTGTGCTGCTGCATCTAGAAAGAAGGTTTCTTCACATAATTCACTGACTTCCTCAACTAAAACAGGTGCATCTTGATTACCTCGAAGCTGGTGCAGACATTATTATTACAGCATCTTATCAGGTATGACAATGATCAATCTCCTCTCTCTCTCTCTGCAAAATGACACTCATGTTTATTCAGATTGGAACAGGCTACTATTCAGGGGTTTGAGGCAAAAGGCTTCTCCACAGGAGAAAGTGAAGCATTACTCAGAAAAAGTGTAGAAATTGCCTTTGACGCTCGCGATATATATTATGACAGATGTGAAAATAGATCCTACGAGGCCGTTGGAGATGATAAGGTACTTAGGCATCGTCCCATTTTAGTTGCAGCATCTGTTGGCAGCTATGGGGCTTATTTAGCTGATGGGTCCGAATATAGGTAATTTCACGTCTACTTTAGCAAGTTGCATGAATGAATTTCCTTGCTGTCAATGATACTCATGGGTTGCATAGCTTTTGTGGTTAACATGCTTTTATGTTATTCGTATATGCTTTGAAGAATCATTGTTATTCATGTTATGATTGATTACAATTGTTCCATCAACCAGCATATATTATTCTATTAATAACTTAAATTAGGTTTTGTACTCTGCTGATTTTGGTGGCCTTCCAAAATAAAGTCATAATGGAACCGAAAAGGAAAAAGGAAATGAAAATCATAATCTTCGCTGGCACTTTCTATCAACATATTTATGTTTGGTTCTCTTACATTTTTTTTGCTGTTTCTTCTGCAGTGGGATTTATGGCGATGAAATTACACTTGAAAGTTTAAAGGATTTTCATCGCAGACGAGTTCAGATACTAGCAGAATCAGGTGCTGACTTAATAGCTTTTGAGACCATTCCGAATAAGCTTGAAGCCCAGGTATTGGCCAGATACTTATTGTACTAATTGATATCTATTTATTACTTTAGTATTGTTAAAGATAAAAGAAGAAGAATCAAAGAATTGTCCTTGTCACATCATTGCTGTTAAGTAGCTTAACTCGATCCAAGGCCTATGTATTAGGTCTAACTATCACTGTAACTGAATGGCTTCATCCTATTCGTGGCGAAAGATATGCTGGAGATTTGATTAGTGCCTACAGCTTTGGAAGTAAAAAAGCACTTAGATTTTTGGTTTGGATTCAGATGCGGAGTGCAGGGCCTGGAGTTAAATAGTTGTGAGAAGGATTTTGTATAAGTGTTATTTGCAGGCACCTGATGCTGTCTTTGCTGTTTATTTGCAATATTTGCTGAAGTTTTAAGTTAACTACTATTACATTATCGTGCTAGCTTTCTTATTGATACCTTGTATAAACTAAGGCTTACGCAGAGCTCTTAGAGGAAGAAAGCATAACTGTTCCAGCATGGTTTGCCTTTAATTCTAAGGATGGTGTCAATGTCGTTAGTGGTGATTCCTTGGTGGAATGTGTTTCAATTGCTGAATCATGTAAAAAAGTTGTTGCTGTTGGAATCAATTGCACACCTCCCAGATTCATTCATGGATTGATTTTGGCTGTGAAGAAGGTAGTATGCACACACACAATTTCTTTACCTTTGATGGTAACTATTGCAACCAAATATCTGCATCACACTTGTTTTCTATTTTGGTTCAAGCCACTAAAAAGTCAAGCTAGGTGATTATATTATTTCTTTTGTTTTTGCACTTCGTCTTCTCCTCAACAATGCACTTCATGCTATTGATGTAACTTGCACAAGAACTCAGGAAACTGGAGATTTTGGTTGCACCATTAGTGTTCTACAGATTTCTTGTTGGTTTGCAGTGCAAAACTTAGTGCAATGCTTGCTTGCTGCAAATTCTGTGGTCAAATTATACTGAAAACACCTATCTACTTTTGAATTGTTCATTTAAGCCCTGCAGGAATTTTGTATTCAACTAAGCCTTGTACTTTCAGAATCTGTTCAAATCAATCCATCTGAAGATGGAAACTAAAATAGTTGTTTAACTCTCCTAACAACTGTAATGCAGCTTAGCATGTGGCATTCTACATGTTCAATTATAATATCTAAAGCCTTTTAATCTGTGATGTCCATGTATCACCTACATCTATGTGGATGTCACACAAACCTTAAAATCTCAGGATATTCACTTTGGTTGCTCGGAAACTGCAACAGAAGCTCCTCTCTTCTTCTCCATGGTTGTCTTACTCCTCCACAATCACACCCATTGACAGAAAAGTTTGGGTGTGGCCAAGATGGATATGGGTTTCCTTGGTATGGATTTTCTGGTGGAATCCAAAGAGCCATGGCATATTTTATCTTCCCTTTTGTCAAGTCCTAAATCTGGTTGCTAATATTATCGTATATCTAAAACTTTGAACAACATAAGTTAGGGAAAAAGATCAATATGTTCCTGTTATCTTCTATGTTCTTATCAACAAAAATAGTCACTCACGAACTTCGTGCACCCTTTCCTCAATCTTAAAACGATTTCAAGGAACCTGTACTCGTCCTTCACAAAAACTGCAAGATCTGTGACCTGACCCCAGAGCAATGGACATAAAAAGAGTCATTGGCGACCTTTGGACATTTCCAACAATGGTTGGCATTTCTTCCTCAAATTATACAAAAAGTCCTTACTCTTGATGGCAGCTAGCGAGGCCTGCAAAATCTCCTCCTCAAAGAAAGGAATCTTAAGCCAAGAACCATCCCTCTCGTATAGAGATTTAAAGAAAAAACCATCAGAGGTTGTCCAATCAACTGACTAGAAAATCCTTAGTAAAGATCTTAAAGAACCTTTGGATGACCTCTCTAAGATTCTGATTGTGTTCATGGACCTGATCATCAGCCTCCGTCCTATTGCCCTCCTTAATCTATGTGGCTCTGGTTCTTTGTCTCCAAGCAAGTTTCTCTGTAAATAGTAAATTAGCCAGTTCAACTCTAGTGTTGGCTTGAAAATCCTTCTTAGTAAACATTCTTATTTCTGCTTCCAAACTATTAAAGCGCACCAAACAAGCACCAAAACATTCTTTTTGACCTCCAAACTCCCAAGCTCAGATTTGCTATGATGCTTGATTCCCGAGTTAACATGGCTAAGCTTTTTAGCAACCTTTAAACAGGCAAACCCTTCCACCTGAACCTCCTACCACTCCTTATTATGGTCTGCAAAATTGGGGACTTGAAGCCTGTTGTTTCTGTATTTGAATGGACATGAGGCATCGATTTTATCCCCCTATTCTCCAAACAAAGGGGGAACTGATCTGAATTAAATTAGGGCAATAACTTTGCACCAAACTTGGAACTTGAGAATTAAGACAAATAGAAACAGGAAAGGGGTTAATATTAGAAAACTCAGCCTTTCCTAGAATACAACCAGGTCCATCTCCCTCTACTCAAAGGGTGATTGATGAGGTTGAGTCTATCTGGAGTATCCCTGAATACCTCAAACAAACTCAAGAATCAGCCTCTCCCATACATTCATGAGCAAATAGAACAATGTTGAAATCACCTCCGGTTACCCAAGTGAATTTCCATCTGTTACAAATCACCATAAGATCATTCTAGAAAGCTTCCCTTTCCCTGCCCCCCCCCCTTGTCATAAACCCGGTAAACATCCAGCACCAACCAAATGCCCTACCCTCCAAAACACAAAGCACTGAGCAAACACCTCTGCACCAATCAACCTCCAGCTTGTTCTCATTCCACAGAACACAATACCACTCAAAGCTACTGCTACTGGAAGGTCTCACCACCCCACATCCCTAGCATTCCAACCAATATGAGCTGATATGTTAGAGAACTTTTGCTTCTTGGATTCTTGAAAGCAACTTATATTTAGGTTCCATTTGGACAAATCCTTTTGATAATTGCTTTTCTGTTAGTGTCGTTCCAGGCCCTCAAGTTCCAATACTATGTTAGCTAACATAAGGCTTGATTTTTGGACAATCATTCTTGCCCTTCTTAGCAAGTCAATAGAACCATGAAGTCTTCTAAGCTCCCTTTCCTTTTACAAACCTGCTTTCTTCATTCCACGGATACTTGGTGTCTTAGCTCCCTTTCGACCACATGTTGTAACTTCTATGGTCTGAAATAAACTGAAAACTTGCTCCTTAAAGAACTCCAACAACTGACTAACTCTGTAAACATTACTCCACATCCATAGCAAAGCGTCTGGCTGTGCTAACACCCCATACCGCAACATCATCTCTACTATTTTCTTTCCTTCTTGCACTCACTCAATATATCCAAATCTAAATTATTGCCACTAGTCCTGACTTGCAACTCTTCCCCTATTAACAAGAACCGACAGTAATATTGCTTTTCTTCTGACCTCCCCTCTAGGCAGAAGAAGGAAACTAGACCTAGAGATATAAAGGTTGTTTCTAGGAGAAATAAGTTCTTCAAGATCAAACACTACTTCATCTGAATCTTTGCATGAAGAACAACATCTAGGTTCGAGTCAGAATAAGGACAGCCACTGTGAGCCAGAAGAGGATGTAGTCAAAGGAGAATTAAGACAAAACTAAAGCCTTTGCGTGTTCTAAGAAAACAAGTCTACTAATGACCTAGAGGAATCGATCTCTTTCCTCCTTTTTTCTCCATATGAAGTTGGTTTTTTAGCCAAAGCCCAAATTTCTTTCTAAGTAGTTGAAGCCCTAGAAAAAAAAAGATTTAGGCTGTCTTTACCCAACGCAACTCTAAGTCTGAACAGGTGGCAGTTTTTGAAATATGAAAGCAACCTAACCTTAAACAGGTGGTTCTCTCTAAGATGGCCATAAATCTACCTCCTTAGGTCACACCAAGACTCACTTAAAGAGGATGTTCTTCCTTCCGATCATCTTTCTCACCCACAAGCCAAATTTTCCCAGTAAAATTCATGAAGGACCCTGAGGAGATAGTCCACTTTTCCTTACAAAAAGAAATTGATGATCGAAAGATCCACCCCTTCCACTCTCATTGATTCTAATGCAATCAATTGCTCCCCCTCAAGAGAGAGGTCGAAAAACGTGTTTAATCATTGGGAATCTCCTAGGAAGAGAAATTGACATGAGAGAGGCAAACAGACCGGAAGACTTGTCTGGAACAATGGGCAGACACCCAAAGCAGAGCGAAAAAAGAAAACTACCGAAAGAGAACAAACAAAGATAAAGATATTGATATTAATCAAAGGGGAAAATTGGGTTTTTTGTGTTCTGCCAGCACATGTGGATGCCAATCGTGCCATGTTTGCGAAAATGACAATACTGTTTAAGAACTGATTGTGTTAGATGCTGTGTAAGCATTGATTAAACAGATGTTAGGAGAGTTAATTGACCATTTCATTTTCCATCACTTGAGGGGCTGAGTCAAACAAATATCAAAAGTATAGGACTTAACTGAACATAAAATTGATGTTGGGAGTAAGTTGAAATAGTAGAGTTTGTTTTTAGAACTTTGGCGAAATTTATTTTCTTCATACTGTTACCATTGGAGTTACTATTTTTAAAAAGAGAAGAATGTGAATGCACCTTGGTTCATTTAAATCTTTTAACTTTTGCCGTTTCTCAAAAGAAGAGGCATGATGTCCTAGATCAGTGCAGGGTTCTTTGGTGAAACTTGGGGATATTTCCAAGCAAAATAAATAATTTCTTGGGAAAAAATCTGATCCATTTAAAAAGAAGTTTGGAGAATTGGCTATTTGATATTCTCCATATACTTTATAAATTCTTCAAACATTTGCTTCAGTAATTTGCTAATGGATTATAGTTAGTTAATATCTCCAAGGTATTTTGGATTTTGGAAATCTTAATTTGTGTCCGTGATTTCTTCAGGTGACTGCTAAACCGATTCTTATATACCCCAACAGCGGTGAGCGTTATGATCCCGACCAGAAGGAGTGGGTGGTACGATCCTCTATGTCTTTGACTTGCATGTCTTCTTGCTTTCAACAGAAATGGAAGTTAGAAAAAGACAAAGTGTCCTTAATATAAGGGGAAGTCAGAACTAGTTATATTAAGGGCCAGTGGTAAAATTAATTATTGCCTGAAATATAATAGCAGGTTTCTTGAACTTATTAGAGTTTGAGTTACAGTTAGTGGTATGTTTGTGTTTACGGGTGTCTATCTATATATAGAAAAACAAATTCTGTTTTTGACAACATACTAAGATGGTGCTGCCCATTTACAAAACTAATTGCAGATATTTCAAAATTTCCAGATGGTCAACAAGTTCATGTGATAGAAAAAGAGTGAGACTTGTAAATCCTAAATATAGATAACCTATCCTGCTACCTCCCACACTATTGAAGTGCATTTCACTCTCTCAAAAGATATCTTGTTTTGTTTTTCTCTTTTTTCAAATTTCAACCAAGAGATCCCAAAAGGGGGGGAAAAAAGGAGACAGGGCTAGCAATGTGATTTTTAGGAAGCATTATACCTGAACCTTTTGCATCAGTTTTTCACATCAGTAAGAGTTAAAAAGAGTGCTGAGGTAAATACGCATTCACCATTGAAGGAAACATGGGACGTCAGTCGACCTCAATATCCTCTGGAAATGAACCATTCATACATGCATTACCATTCTTGTCGCACATTTTCTGGAATCCTGTATTTCTCTATAAGCGATAGAGTCTAAGCAATAACACTGTTTACCATCTGAATCTAGAAAAGTCCAGTGTGGGGCAATGAAGGGAATGGTTAGGAGCTATATGATCAACTGATTTTAATCATTTTGCCTCCTTTCTTATGATATTTCTAAAGATCCATATGAAAATAAACTTGTCTCTGGGAATGCTGCAACATGTTAAATGTTTTTGAGGAACTAACATGTCAAATTTTTGGGTGCATATTTGTATGGCAGGTAAATACTGGAGTGCTGGATGAAGATTTTGTCTCGTATGTAGGCAAGTGGTGTGATGATGGAGCTTCTCTTGTGGGAGGCTGTTGCCGAACAACTCCACACACTATAAGAGCCATATATAGGACACTTTCCAGCAGAAAGCCAACTCAATTCCAGCCGTAACTGCAGTGACTGAACATGGTTAAAACAAGTAAATTAATCCAACTGAGAACCGGAGAGCGCCTGTAAGGTCTGAATCTTCTTCCTGGCTGTAATGGTGGAGAGAAGCCTAACAAGGTAGAGTCCGTCAGTTGAAAGATTAGGCCTCTGGCATTGAGTTTGTGTTTGCAGATCATAAAAGTTCTTTGAGGGTCTAAAACTTGGGATCTTTGGGATCATATTCTGTTTACAGCAATAGCCTTTTGAAATTGTTTAGAAACTAGACCATACTCCATTTTATCTGTACCTTTTATGCAATTTAAGGTGTCTAAAAACTTGTGTCTATGGGGTCATGTTATGTTTGCAGCAACAGCCTTTTGATTTATTTTCTGGTTAGTAACTCCAACATGCTCCGACGTGCTCCATGCTAACTGTGACAGATTTATTAACGATATTGACTATATTTAATAGATATAACCGAATATTTTTTATTTAGAGGGATAGAAAATAAAAAAAAATTAGTATAAAAGTTAATTTAAATATTTAAAAATAATATTAGAATTATTACACTGAGTTAAAATTTTAGAATCTAATTTTAAAAAATATTTGATAATTAATTTATTACAAAAAATTTCATAACAAAGGTGACAATTGGTCGGTCTTCTTCCGCTACTGGTAAATTTCCAATACGACTATATATCAGGTGGGCCGGGTGGCCCAGTCAACAGAGCCTTTGACCTACCCGTGCCCGAACCGCTAAAATTCTACCCGAAATTGGCCGCTTAGGGTTTTCAGAAGCTCTATATAAACGCAGAAAACCTTCTCCTGCTCATCATCTGTGCCTCTTTTCCTCCCAGCGCCTCTTCTTGTAAGCAGGTGAACCTCCTCTAATCTTCGTATCCGGTTTAAATTTGTTTGCCTCATTGTTTTCTAGATCTTCAAAAATGATAGTTATTAGGGTTAGTAGTCATCTGCACGAGCCTCCCGGGCTTCTCTGAATAGAGAGTTGAGGAAGAAAGCCCCAATGCTTGTGCTAAATTATTGCCGTTCGTGTTGCAGTTTTGCTTATTTTTCTTTCCAAGGCGTAGCTGTGTCAAAGCAACGGCCAGATCTTTAATTATTTTGTTTCCTTACCTTTTTATGTTTAATATCATCTGTGATTACATGTCTAGGTCAGTCTATTGGATTATGTGCTTTTGATTACGGGTTTATGCCTCTCCACACCTTTAGCTTGTTTCCGAAACGAAGGAACGTTGGAATCTAGGCTAGTCATAGAGGCGAATATTGAGTGCTTGCGGTGTCACACGTGGGGGCAGATCTTTTCTATAGTTTCGCCTCTAAAAACATCCGCTATAGTGCTTTATATTCTCTCATCAATCCTTTCCATTGTCGATCTAGTTTGTTGTTCGAGAAAATGATTTAGCAGCTAGAATTTTTTTAATTATGTTGTGGCAATGATTACATATTTTATCCGCGCTTCTGAGAGTGATCGATGAAGCATATATGATAGCAATGGTTGAATTTCTTGATATGAGCCATATATTTTCGAACTTATGTTCACTTTTACTGAGCAAATCGTTCTAAAATTTTAATTGTTTTCATCCATTTAGTAGGCTATGATGATCAATTCACAGCTTTAAATGCCAGTTCTGCTTCAGATAATTCTTGATTGAAAAAGCTGTTAACATTATCTGAGTCTTTAGGAATAATTTTCGTTTTTATAATCCGTTCACTGAAAAATTTGTTGTATTTTTTATGATCTATTTATGAGTTCTGCAAGGAATTATTTTGTTCATGCGATTTTTAACTCAGAATTAAGCTGAAGCTAAAATATGAACCTTTTATTAATGAAATTGCCAGTGATGATCTAATCCAATACTATGAGGTGCGGTGGATTCAAGGACCTGTAATACAGGAGAACCCCCTTGGCAGAAGCTGCAACTCGTTGATATCAATGGATTTAACTGAGGCTAGAACTTCATTTCAATATAGGCTTTTCAATTGAGTATTTTTAGTAATTTATTAATACTTGCTCTTGTCTTCCATGTGACTCATACATTGAGTTTTAACTATACTCGTGCACCCTCTGGTGCAAGAGGCTGAAAAACTCATATATCTCGTGTTGTCATCAGCTTCTTCTCTATATTATTACAAGAGATTGGAGTTAAATAACAGCACAACATCTGAAGACCCCTGTTTTTGGCCGAATGGAAATTATGATGGGAGGATTCCCCGATGGAAATTAAGTGCTGGTTTTACTTAAAAAAATCAATTTTTTTTATTAATTTAATCTATTCCATAACTGGAACAACAATTTTGAAACAGAAGAGAGATTTCAAGAAATGGTAGATCTATGAACTGTCAATAATTGAACCGGATTTGGTGTATGGTGAGGGATTTGCTTTATGGATTAGATCAAAAACAAATCTTGAATGAGGTTTTGAACTTCAGTGATGAATTAAAAAAGTAATCTCTAGTGGTTCCACTATTCTTCATAAATAAAGATGAATCTTTTTATTTTAGGATTACAAAAAAGGGTAGGTTTAAAATTTAATTGTCTGGTATAGTCATTGTTTGTGATGATGCCCATGACGATTTAACTGAAAATAGTTTTGAGTTGCAGTTAAGCGAAGCCCTGTTGTACAGGGAGAACCTACTTGGTGTAAGCTGCAATTCGCTGATAGAAGTGGATTTCCCTGAGGCAAGATGTTATGTGCTTGAGTTAGCTTAGGAAGTTTTGATTGTTTAAACTACTCTTTGCCCGATCTATTTGGGTCGAAGAGACTAAGAAACTCAGATAGTTACTGTTGTCTATCAGCTTCATCTCTTGATGTTGGCACAAGATTGGATTTAAATAGCAGCACTACATTTCGCCAGTACTGATTTACATTCTGTATGCATTTGTTCAATTCTAGTAAGATCAAGTTTTGATATAGATGATGGATTTAGTGTTGATCAACAAATGCAAACGGCAACTTGTTATTTTATCTTTAGATGAGATGCCCTTAATTGTTAAGAGAAAAGAACTGAAGCTTGTTGTTGTTGGCCGATTGACTGAATAAATTGGAGTTGAAATGCGGATGATGAGTAGTGAGAACTAAGATCATTTTGCTTCCATTCCAGAATGTATTTCAGAGTGTATTTCGGAATAGATAATGTACCATCGAAGAAAGAAGATTCACCTTAAATCTTGTTCATAAGAAATTATTTGTGTTTGTCCAAGTTTTGCAAGGGTAAAGTGGAATGTTGTCTTTGCCTTAGATTGCTTGAATTTTGCAATCGGAAGGTATTATGTTGTCTTGGCACGGGAAGGTGTTTTGTTGTGTGTATGTGGAAAAATATTATGTTAGTGTTCAATCTTGATGTTCGGCATAATATTGTTCAATTAAGCTCATCAATATTTTGTTGTGTTCAATCTTGTCGTAAGGTATTTTGTTCAATCTTGCTTGTTTGGATTTGATCTCTCCACTAGTTCTTGAGAAAATTTCAGTCTGGCTTGAGTGGTTGGAAAAGTTAAAACCCTTTCACCATTGCAGATCGGGTCACCTTGATAAACTCAGGGACCTCGCCTTCCCTTGTACACTATGAAGTCCACCAAAATTCCTCGTGCAATTTGTGAAGATAGTGATAAGCTTAATTGTCAGTTTCTCTGGTGAGGTAATAATGAGAAGCATAAGATTCATTTAGTCAAATGGGATGTTGTGATGAACCCTAGGAAGAAGGATGGAGGGTTTAATATTATAGAAGCTAGGAAGGACCTTAAACCGAGCTTAGCCAGTCAAATTTCATTTTATTTCAGTTAAACCCAAGCCTTTTCTCCTTTTGAAACATACCCGAATCTTAACATTGAAAATAACCGAAGCCAGTCGGCCGGACATCAAGCTTGGTTCTTCTAAACGACATCGTTTTGAGGAGCTAGATAAAGTCTCCTCCCAGTCTTGGATAGATAGAAGCAGCACTTTTTATTTATCCATTTATATAAAACAACTTAAAAGAGGATTAAGCCTCCTATTCAACACGAAAGATGAAAACTTTGGGGGCTATTTTTGATTCTTCCAGGTGCTGAAGAGCGAGTGAGAGGCCAAACAAAGATGACCTTTTTTTGGGTTTCTTATAAACATTTGATAGCAATAGTCACAAAGACCTCAATCAAAGCTTGCGGTCTTGGAAAGACATTTCAAACTTCTAAGAAAAAATCACCTCTGTAGTCCATAAATATTAACGAATAAAAAAGAAGCAACATATAAATATCATATCTTCTATATTCTCTGCAAGTAATTGAAGAAAACAATTGATGATTATCATTCTTAATTGGTCAAATTAGCTAGCAAGTGTTTTCTTGTCTTTTTACCTTTTGAAACTATCATGTGCCAATAATACTTACCTTTTCTATAAAGCATGTGACTAACATGATAAAATTGTGAAAATTTAGAATTGTATTTCAGATTTTACGTAATTATTAATTTTGATAAATTATAGTAAGAAAATATTGTGATCAATATCGTGTTAACAGTTAAAAATAAATTATATTAAAAAATTTAATTAAATTATAGTTTATTTTTATAAATATTACGTATAATAACGATTAAGATTATTATAAAAATCATTCATGCTCATTTTAGATATGTGCTATAATTAGTATACTTAGCAGCTGAGTTAGGTTAATTGATGCACATTTTTATACTCGTACACTAATCGTAACACGATTAATACTATTTACGAATTGACGCATGTTATATATGCCAACTTGTTATAACACAATTAATACTGTTTATGAATTAATGCTTTTTTTTTTTATTTTTTATCTATGTTCAGACGAAATTAATACTATTTAGGTAATTTTACATTAATGTATAAATAATAAATTAAACAATTTCTTGTTCGCTTGAATTTTAATACGAACCATAAGCATATTAATGAAAATATATATATATATATATATTTTTTTTCATTAATATGCTTATGGTTTATTAGTTTCTTATTCTTGTATTTGTATAACCTCTACCAACTCAAATGAGTAGTACTATAAATAATATTAGAGATGACCTTAGACCATAAGCTAGCCTAAGGATTAGATGTGTGGGTTTGCCATGTTTGGTAGAACTCATTGTTTCAAAATTAGTATCACTACAATCTCCTATTTGATTCTATTTATTTGATAATTGAATTTTCTAACACTTTGCATGTCAAATTAAAAGTGACAACTGCCTTTTAACGATGAGTTGAACTTATGATTAGTTTTATAGTTTTATAAATGGCCTTAAACCTCAATCTCACTTAGCTCGACAGGTCCAACTTACAGTTAGGGTTTTTTTTTTGTTTTTATTTTAGAAATGGCACATCAAACTTCAAAAAATGCAGGATGTGATCCCAGATGACCCAAGTTTAGTGATCTTGGAGCTCTCAGCATCAAATCCTGTAAATTGAAAAACTAATATATGGGTTACACCATCATTCATATAAATTAAATTAACTTTATACCATTTAAAATCTTTATACATTAAATATACTCAAACTCATATGATATATTGTGTTAAATGAAGCAACTTGTATTAAAAAATTCAATGCAATTACATTAATAGTCTATTAGTTGGAAGTTATATAGCTGTTCGGTACGATTATAATTTTCTGATGGTTAATACTGTCATAAACGGTATTTCTACTCTTTTTAAATTTGTACTATAATCGGTATGCTCAAGCATTTAACTTAACTTATTACCTTTGAGAATTCTTATGGATTAAATCTACTCAAACTAACATGACATATACCTTTACTGATTGGAATGATAAAAGAATGAAACCACCCATTACTATTATAATACATGACATTTACTTCTTTTCATGGAGTTGAAACCTCCTTCTTGAGTCTCTAGAATATTTCAACATCGGTTAAAAGGATTACACTAAAGTCATCTAAGAATAAAATGACAAAGTACTTGCTTTTCAGGATGAGAATTTACCTTTCAATCTAAAAATAGTAACCAATTAAATGTACCAATTATTGACCAAAAGATGGAAAAAAGAAAGAAAGAAATATGTGTAGGATTTGTTGCTCGATGGGAGAGTAATATGGTACGCTAGGCTAAATATTTTGTTATAGCGTGTAACACATTATATTAAAAAAATTTAATAGCTCATTTTAAAATGTTTTATAATTCTTATGTACAATAAATTGACATCTTCTAGCGGTTATGACTGTCTTGAAAGTCACTTGTATTTATTTTAAATCTTTATTATAATTAATATACTCAATCATCTACCTTAACTCTATACCCTTAAAAATTCTTACATGTTAAATGTATGCAAACTAATATTCAATATGTCATTTTAAAGTAGTTAGAAATAAAGTATATTAAAAAATTTATTCAAATTATATTTAATATATCATTTAATTTTTTTTTTAATTTGTTACATATAATAATTATTTTTTGATAAGACTATCATAAAAATTTTTCGTCGTTCTTTTAAATCTCTATTATAATACTTAACTAATTTTATGTTCTTAAAAATTCTTGTGTATGAAATATGTAACGGGCCAAACTCCAATGTCAATGGGTATGGACGTTAACACAATATTTTCAACTAGTGGAATATATAAATATTAAATATGCAGCAGAACTACACTTTAATACATATATCTTATGACGAGATAATTATTTGTTTGTAAACAATTAAAACATATAAATTAATTTATAAAATCTAAAATAGAAACTAACAAGATTTTCTTCACCATCTTCTATTGATCTTGGACTTGTTTTTCATATCTTCTAACTTGAATGGAGGTGAATTGGGGTTGAGTTTCACGAGCTCAATAAGAAAAAAATTCTATAACGAAAATTACGTACATATATTCACGCAATATATAAAATAAAATAATATTTATATTCAAGACAATGTCAAACAAAGCATCTCAATCAAATACATAATAAAATAAATCATCACATGAAACATATTATAATCCTGACTCTTATAAACTTATTATGGTTCTTATTTCAAATCACACTTGCACTCAAACTATCATAATACATTCAGAATATCATATGTAAGATTTTATCGCGCGATACTGTTTATGTTGTCATTAAGGAGAGGCAAAATAGATCCTCCCATCGCAAGCATAACGCGCACACACAAATTTTATAATGACCACAGCAGGTACGTTTCTTTGGTAACCTACACTCATAAATACCTATCAAGGTCTGCAGTAGGGATTAGAGAGGATATATGTGCAGGTTCACCATGTCCAGTGAGCTTCAGTCACATACACACACACACACACACACACACACACACACACACACTCCCCTCCTCGATTAAGATTAAACAAATAAGTATTTAGGATCTGTACACTTTACATTCTTTTCAAATCTCTCTAATTTTTAATTAATTTATTTTTTAACTAAGATTTTAATTTCTATACATAATTAAACATAAAAATGCACTCACAAAATACA